TAGAATAGAATAGAATAGAATAGAATAGAATAGAATAGAATAGAATACTTTATTGGCCAAGTGTGATTGGACACACAAGGAATTTGTCTTGGTGTAAATGCTCTCAGTATACATAAAGAAAAGGTACATTCATTAAGAATCAAGAATTATAATGTACAACATTTAATGATAGTACTTCTCCTATTAAATATTAAATGATAAAATTTCATTTTTTTCTTCTTCAATCTCTTCCTTCTTTACCTTTGCTTTGAATTAGGCTGTCATACTTGTAGTTATTCCTTTTACTATAGTCTTCTCTTTGAACCCAATCATTTAAAAGTAATTCCAATTACTAGATCATAAGGCTATTTAGGGAATAACCTATCACTATGATATGCTAATCCATAGCTTTGACTAAAGAGATTTGTTTAACATCCCCAAAACATTTGTACAGGGCTAATTATCTATATAAGTCACTTTCCTTATGAGACAAAAATGTATTATGAACCTTCTATTTTCAGCATTCACAAGACCTTGAACAAATACCCACTGATTTAGCCTAGTACTATAATTTTACTCTGTAGGGGAGCCTGAACCATTGTTGATATGAAAATCTCCCTTGAATTTGAAGTAATTTCTTTTATAACCCATTTTTTTCAAAGATTCCTTTGAATCTTAACTAACCAGAATTGATCCAGACTTAATGCAGTCAGAAAAGCAGAAGAAACTGGAACACTTGTTTTTATTTTTCTTATTAGTGCTTGAGGAGACTTCTGTTTTACAAGATAAGGGTAGGTTAGAACAATGCAAACTCTGTCCTGAACCCATGCTTCTCTTGATTGGTCAGGGTCTTTTGGGAAGTGTCATGTGGATGGGTCTAAGGAATAGTTAATGCTTTTTGTATTACAAGGTAGTATCATGTATCTTGGAGGAGGTGGTACTGTAGTTATTGATAGCTTTTGTTACAACTGACCATCATATCTTTGGTTCTGGACAACTTTGTGTTAGGAGTGAGGTCACCTTTTTTCTATGGTCTTTCTTCCATGGCCAGTATTTTTTTGAGGAAGTGTTGTAATCTCAGGGCCCTGAAATTTGAGGTACATCATGGCTCAGATCTCTCATCACACCTTCTTGATATCTACTAAAATTCATTGACTTGGTTGTTTGTCATCTTGTCATGAGGTTTGATAGATATGCTGATGATACATCTAAAGCTCTGACCAGATAGGTGATGATGTTTTGATGGTGACCCAATGTCTAGAGGCTATGAGATTATGTATGGGGAGGAAACACTTTCAACTCAACCTTGGCAAAATGGAGTGGCTTTGGTTTTGGATATAGTGATGTGATATATTTTTCTCTCAATGGGCTAAAACAGATATGATACAAAATGGCGGGTCCCCCTGGACTTGAGAGACAATTGTGGCTAGAGAGGCCTTTTCACAGATCATCTTTGAACATATATATATATTATTTGCATATTAAATTGCTCATATTTCTGGACTTGTAGGGCTTGCTTTCTCTCAATTGTGCCTAGATGACTTCCTTCCACATTCTGCAATGTGCTCTACATGGAATTTTCTTTGAAGATCATCTCGATTACAGCTGGTCCAGAATGCAATATTGTGTGCAGTTCTGTTCAATATTGTCAATAGTATAGTGTTGTTATGTGGGCGGCACTATCTCTACTTTCTGGGTGTGATTCAGCATTAACTTCTAAAGTCTATCATTACAAATGGACAGGCTATCTTTCCTTGAGGTTTTCTGTCAATTCCACTGTGTTAGGTACAGTGAGTATATTCTAATTCTCTTTCCTCAAAAGTTGCCATCTAATGGAATTTTGAAAGTGTGACTTTATGTCTAACAGTAGTTGCCTTTGGTATATGTAAGGCAATATATTTAAGTCCAGTTTGAGTCCAACAGAAAGGAGTGGAAATAATTTTTGATGATTAAACTGTTCAAATGTGCCTGAGTCCATCTTCAACATATCTGTAAATCTATGAATATCTGTAAATCTAGTCAGTATCTAGTAGCACATCAGGAAATATGTTCCCTAGAAAGAAAATAGAAAAAGATACCTGAACTATTGGCTAAATGCTAGGCTTATTTTCTTGAATAACAAACTTCTGAAATGCATTGATTCTAGAGCTTATTATGTTAATTAGGAAAAGGAAAGCAAAAAGAAAAATGACCTTTGAGGTTGTTCTAATCAACTGTTCAGGACCACTGGGAACTAAATGAGTCTCTGATTAGGCATAGAAGGTCTAATAAAACTATACTAATGAGGAAAACAATTTAAAATCAATAATTATAGTGCAAAGTAGACATACAATGATCAGTTTCAAAGGGAACTGGAAAATGAATATGTGAAAATCACATTAAAAGAGGAAAGTAAGCTGATTTCTTTTCCACTTTTACTTCCTTTCCTTCACCTTCATACATTCATATTCTACAGTTATTCATATTTTACTGCTATTCATTCAGCATTTTCTTTATAAATTTCCCACATTTTTTTCTCTTCCCCCTGCTAAAGAAATCTACATATTTAAATTTTTGATGTGACAACCAGAAGAAACTTTGGAATGGGATGAGAGATCTCTACTTTTCTTCCAATTTGGAGGATGCTGGGATTGGGGCATATTCAGAATTCAGTATATTTCTACATCTTTTTCAACTATAAGATGAATTATGGTGCTCAAATTGTACAAAAGTTAAATTCATTTAAATAAGTTTACATCTTTATTTTCTTTAGAGCTATGTTCTGTTCTGTGCAGTAGAAACTCCACTTGGATATGGATTATGTTAAACCTGAGTTCTACAGATTTTTATAAATCTGTTTGATTATTAATGATTAAGATGATGTGATTAATTAATTTCATGCAGTTATCCATATTCTGGGAAAAATAAGTTGGGCCTACAGTTATTAAAGAAAGTATATTAAATGAAAAATATATATGTTTAATTCTGAATATGACAGAATTTATAAACATTGAAGCATATCTCTTCAAATCTAAATCTTCCATTTAGGATACATTTGAAAATTTCTTTTTTCATTCTTTCACCAATTTTTGCTCTTCTGTTTCTGAAGAAAATTATAGGTTTTAGTGCAGATTCTTTTCAAGATATAATTCAAATGGAACTGAAGGGGAACACATATCTATTTGCAGGGTGGCTGTTGAAAAGCAGACGGTGGAAGAGAGACCCTCATTCAGGTAATATAGATAGGATTACACAACCAAGATCCCAATACAAATTATCATTAGCTAAAGATTCAAGAATCTTCGTTTTATTTTTTTTCCTGAAATTTTACCTTTAGTTTCAGGAAACAGATGGAGATGCTTGCAGTAATTTTATCTACTACTTAAAATAACTAAAAGTGAGATTCTCCACTGTCTTTGAATTCGGAACTATAAATGTTGACATGAGACATGATTAATGTTAAATAAAAGCAATTGGCTCAATACCTGTTAATGTAAATTAGTCTCAGACAATTAAGTCATAAGAAAACAATACTTACATTGGGGAATGTTTATTAGTATTTGGAAATACCAATTTTAGCTTAATCTTTCACATAAATACATACAATTTGCTATTTAAATGTCTTTAACCAATTACCATTCTCTAGGTTTCTGATATCTGTGACAAAACAATGGATAATGACACATCTATATTTCTTCTACTGGAATTCTCAACAATTAGGGAACTACAGGTTATGTACACGGCTATATTTCTGATTCTGTATTTAATGACCCTAATAGGGAACTTTCTCATTATCTCTGCAGTTGTTTTGACTCTTGCCTTCACACCCCCATGTACGTCTTTCTGATGAATTTAGCTTTACAAGACATTGGGTCTGTTTCACTCATTGTCCCCAAATCTGTTATCAATTCCATTATTAATGAACGGTATATTTCTTATTCTGGATGTGTTGCTCAAGTCCTCTTGTTTGTCTTCTTTATAGATTGTGATATTTCTCTTCTTACTGTCATGGCATATGATCGATTTGTTGCCATTTGTAATCCTTTACAATATGAGATGATAATGAATAGGAAGGCTTGTATCAAAATGATTGGCAGTGTATGGACTGCTAGCTTTCTCAATGCTGTATTAAATACAATTGGAACATTCACTACTCATTTCTGTTCTAATGCAATCAATCAGTTTTACTGTGAAATCCCACAGTTACTTAAGCTTGCCTGTTCAGATGCATTTGTGATTGAAATTGCTGGCATAATATTCAGTTTTACATTAGCATTTGGTTGTTTTGCCTTTATCTTTGTTACTTACATTCAGATCTTTACTGCTGTTTCAAAAATCCCTTCTGTTCAGGGAAGAAAAAAAGCCTTCTCCACTTGCTTCCCACACATCACAGTTTTTTCCTTGTTTTTATTTACTTCGTCATTTGCTTACTTGAGAACTCCATCTGATACCCCATCACACTTTGATTTTGCAATTACCATCATGTATTCTATTGTTCCACCTATGTTAAATCCATTAATATACAGCTTTAGAAATAAGGATATCAAAATTGCCCTCTCAAAACATTTTGGTCTGAGGACTCGTATTTTAATCAGCAAAAATTAGGAGCAGACATATGAAGAGTTAAATATAAAATGAAGCCTATCTCATAGTTTCATGTTGTGAGCTGATTGAAGAGTCCTGAAAGTGAAAGAATGTTATATGCCACTGTCAAGGTTGGAGATTACTCAATTGTCCACACAGACATTTAAAGAAAATGGAGAGCAAAGTTTAAAACATTAGAATCCCCTATAACCCTTTGGAAATGCAGGTTTCCGAAGAGAGAATGATAAAAGAAGCCATAACAAGTAACCAAAGAAAGAAGGTGGAAGTCTTCTAAATGTGACAAGAGATGCTGTTGGAATGAGAGGTGAATAGACAAAGGTAGCAGCAGAGGAAGCCATGATATAGATGATTGATATGTAAGGCAAAAGATCTATGTCTAGTGAGAAGAAGCAAGAAGATCCCTAAGGCCACTGAAATGAAAGAGTCAGAAAACAGCCAGTAGAAAGATATGCAACCCTTGGTTCTAGAAGGTGGTAGAGCAAGTTCCACTTGTCTTAGGTGCTGGTCAACCAGGTAGTAAGAGAGAGGCTGTTAACATTCCTAAGACTATTGGCCAGTAATATGGAGGAAGAAATTAGCACTTTGTTTGCATTAAAAACAAACTGTTAGAATGTTAATTATCTTCTACATATTAAAACAAATGTTATACTTATTTACCATATATACACAGAGAGAGAGACACACACACACAAACACATGTACACAAAGCACACACCCAGATAAATGTTTGTATATACATTGCATATGTAGATGTATAGAAATATTTATACAGATAAATTATTACAAATATATTTTGTACTATGTATAGTAATAAACAGCACCTTTTCACTTATTAGCTCTGTGCATATGTATTAAATTCTGTGTCTATTCTGTGTGTATTCAACTGGGCCTGTATACATGAACAAGTGTACTAACACCATTTTTCCCCTTTGGATCCAGTTAGCTGCACATTATTATTCTGAAATGCAAGTCCTGTCTCCTGTTTTCTACATAAATCATTAACTTTATAGTTCTTTCTATGTCCAGTGCAAAGAATGGTGTTTTTAGTTTCCAGCAGCAGATCAGGAAATATGCATCTGAGAAAAAGTAAACTGAAAATCCCAAAATTATTTGGACAGAAATACTATTCTATTTTTGTCTTTTTGTAATTGTAGTAAGAGTACTTCAGTCATAAGCTCATTGATGTGTGTGTGTGTGTGTGTGTGTGTGTGTGTGTGTGTGTGTGTAATAGTAGTAGTAGTAATAGTAGTCAGTCGAAATTAAGCCATTTAACTAAATTCTAATCCTTAAATTAAATAAAGAATTAGTATACATATTTATATTTAGTTGACATACCATGCAGAGAGAAACACAAATGTTTATGTATAGAAATATTTATATATGGCAAGTGTTACAAATACACTTTGCACTATTTTAAATACTAATAAACAGCACTGTATCTAAACCACTTTCCTCTCCTTGGAATACAGATGTCTGTAGTCAAGCTTTTTCTTCTGGTCTTTGCATAAATCATAATACTGAGCCATATATATTTCTAACATCTAATACTGAATATCCTTGATAGATGTCAAGCAAACAACATATGTTATAATCTAATCTGATTATGTCTCACAAAAGTTAAAAGAGATTTCAATGGCTGAACAATTCAATAATTCATTGTCCCCAAGTCCAATGCAAAGTTTGTATTTTTAGTTTCCAATAATAGGCCAGAAAATATGTAAATGTAAACTGAAAATCCCAAAATTATTTGGAAAAATATATCATTCAAGCTTTGGAAGCCTTCTTTTTGAAGAAAAAGAAATGGCTTAGGGATTAAATCATGAACTCAAGGATATGTACAGACAGAAATGTACATCTATCATCATCATCATCATCATCATCATCATCATCATCATCCATACAAGATTTATATGGCTACCAATAACATAATATTGACAGTTAAAACCCATTGTAATGTGCACACTAATAAATACATAACTGGCAAGTTAGGTACAGCTACAATCAGTCATCAACATAAATCATTTTATGGACTTTACAAAATATTCCAGCTCCTCTTCCTGATGATTTAGCCTTATCTTTAAGGCCTATGAAAGGCCAACAAGTCCAGAACCAATCTAAAGGATGGGTAACTTAACTGATCTTTCCTAAGGATGATAGGCTATTCTTTCTTCTATGTGAAATTCAGTTTTACATAGCATGAGGAATGTTTTCAGATTGCATTGCACAATACAATTTTTTTTAAGTATGAGAATTTTCAAATCCAATGCATAGGTCTGTTCTTAAATGATTTGGAATGTACTATTACTTTATTTCATTTTTTAAAGCAAAAAACAATATCTATAGCGTTCTAGGACCCACACTCTTTATACTCTATATAAATGACCTTTGTGATCACCTTGTAAGTAACTGCATCCTCTTTACAGATGATGTAAAACTATTCAACACCACTGGCAATGCTACTATCCTTCAAAGTGACCTTGATTATGTGTCTGAATGGTCAAACATCTGGCAACTCCAAATCTTGACCAACAAATGCTCTGTCCTACACATTGGTAAAAAAAATCAGTACACCAAATTCAAACTAGGTGAATATAACCTCATTGATGATTCTCACTCTGTCAAGGACCTTGGATTTTTCATATCAAATGACCTAAGTACCAGAGCTCACTGTAACAGTATTGCCAAAAAGGCATTAAGAGTTGTAAATCTAATCTTACAAAGCTTCTTCTCCAGAATATCGAATTGCTAACTAGAGCATACAAAACTTTTGCCAGACCAATACTCAAATACAGCTCATCAGTCTGGAATCCACACTGCATATCAGACAATAATACAATTGAGCGAGTCCAGAAGTATTTAATGAGAAGAGTACTATACTCCTCTGCTCACAACAGAATACCCTATATCACCAGGCTTGAGATTTTGGGCTTGGACAACCTTGAACTACTCCACCTATGGTTAGACTTAAGTGTAGCACACAAAATTATCTGCTACAATGTCCTACCAGTCAATGACTATTTCAGCTTCAACCACAGCAATACAAGAGCACATAGCAGATACAAACTCAATGTAAACCACTTCAAACTTGATTGCAGAGAGTATGACTTCAGTAACAGAGTGGTCAATGCCTGGAATGCATTATCTGACTCTGTTGTTACATCCTCTAACCCCCACTCAAATAAATATTTTTTTTTAAAAAATGTCCCCTTTGTAGCAAAAAGGATGAAATAAATAACCATTTGATTAGTGTCTGCAGCAAAAATTCACAAACTGACTATAATCATTGATAAGCAGTGTCATAATAGTTTTGCCAGAATTATTCATTGAAAACTTCACCAGAAGTTAGGATTTGAATGTACCCAAGAACCACTGGAACCATCAAGTTAAGAGGATTTTTGAAAATGAACAGTTAAGATCTTATGAAACTATAAATCCAAATAGGCATTTTGTTCATAACATGCCTCATATAATAGTTGTTGAAAATTAAAAAAAAATCTAATTCATTGATAATGATCTACCAGATGATGCTAAGATTGAGAAAAAAAAACTTTTTGAAAAATGTGAAATACCAGGATTTGCTGTTTGAAGTTGAACAGTTGTCAAAAAAGAAAATAGATATTGAACCAATTGTAATTAGTGCCCTTAGAGCAGTGGTTCCCAAAGTGGGCAGTACTACCCCCTGTGGGGCAGTGGGATGACTTAGGGGGGTACTAGGAGGCAACGGGAATGGCAGGGGGCACTATGAGGCAAGGTGGTGGCAGAGGAGTGCTGGAGGTGGGACCCTCGCAGGGCACAATTCAGGGTTCCGAGTAGTTTGGAAAACTGGTAAAACAGGCCCTTGGCTGGCCCCACTCCTCTCTGCCTGATTCCTCCATTCCTGCCCAGTCAGTCCTTATTGTGCATGTGTGACATGCGTGATGATCGCTGATGGCCATAGTGGTGTGTTGGAGAAGTGGAATGAGCAAAGCTGGAGGTCGGTAATTTTTGTTGGAAAAAGCATCCAGACGCCGCGTCTTTATTTCAGTGTGGCTGGAGCCAAGCCCCACCGGAAAACACACACCGTGTCTGGAGGCTTTTTGCAGCAAAAATTACCGCCCTCCAGCTTTGCTCTGCTTCTCCAATGCACCACTGCTGCCACATTCTAGGCACCAGCCATGCAGTTCTAGGCGCCATGTTCTAGGCACTGCACCACTCTGCTTGGACTTGCTTGGGTAAGTCCCTCCAGTACAGCAGGTTCAATGGGGTGGATTTGTGGGGCCGGCACTTAGAATGTGGCCAGAGTAGCACATTGGAGAAGTGGAGCAAGCAAAGCCGGAGGTCAATAATTTTCACTGCAAAAAGCCTCCAGCCTCTGTGTCTTTTTTTCAGTGGCTGCAGGCATTCATGACAAGGGCTACATGGGCTGGCGGGGAGCCGAGCGACAACAATGGCTCAGCCCTGACTTGCCTTCCCTGGCAACCAGCCATGGGAGGAAGGTAAAGTCACAGCCATGGGATAAAGAAAGAGGCTGTCGTAGGGGAGGAAATGGGAAGATTAAGAGCTGGGGCCTCTGAAAGGGGAAACAGGGTGATGCAGGATTAGTACAGGCCTTTGACATATTAGACCACCTAATCTGTGAATCTGGGATTAGCATCCTTTAAAAAGTAATAAACATATAATTTATCAGTATGACTCTCAAATTTGGAGATGATTGGGGAGATAACAGCAGATCTGGGGACATCATAAATAGGATACTGTAGGAGGCAGAGTTTCTACTTGCCTAGATGTACAAGGGCAAACTCTCTGCAAATAAGAAATTCCATCCCCCGCCAGTAAATCTAATATAAGGGCATCAAAGCAGGCTCTGAAAAAGGTCTATCTCTATTTGCTTAGGGTTAGATTGTATAGACACCTCACAGGTTGGAGTTATATTTTCAAACAATTTACGTTGTATTGTATTAGAAAATTATTCTGCTTTCAGAATATGGAGAAGTTTAAAGGACTGATTTCAGTTTTCCTTC